AGTGAGCTAAGTAAGTTAAATATGTATTTTAATTTGATTCAATCCTAAAAGCACAGCATTTTATTTACTGTCACGTTAGGGCTAGGTTAGGGTTAGTTTAGCATGGTTGAGGAAGCTGTCGAGATGGTATCGCAGATAAAATACCTGCATCTCATCATCGACAGCCACTGGACGTTCGAGCCGCACTTTGACTCCTTAGTCCGAAAGGTGTCGGCAGCGGTCAACGCTTTGTGCGGTCTGCTGCCGAACATCGGCGGGGCAGGAATCGCGGTGTGCCGACTATACGAATGTGCCGTTCAGTCCCTAGCGTTGTACGGAACCCCGGTATGGGCGGACGATCTGATGGCGAGTCGCCACAGCATTCTGCTCTTAGCACGTTGACTACCACGACACCGACTTCGGGTGTCAGCAAAGTTTCTGGTCACGCCACGTAACCCATATTTAGGTGTCGCTTATTTGACTACTTGCGAAGAATCATCGTAGGTATTTGAAAAGATATTCCGTAATAATAAATTGTTAATTAATAAATAATTGTAATAATAATTGAATTGTTATAAAATAAAAATACGGAAATGGTTTATTAAAAACATTATTTAGGATGTAAAACTTCAAAGCATTCTATACATAGCTGGGATTGGTCGGGACAATTTGGACAATAAGTTGTTGTTTTCTTCAAATTCTTTTGTACCTTTATTCGGTCCATTCGACGTCTTTTATTTGCATAACATAGTTTGCATGCACGTCTAATGCTTCTTCCGGAATCATTTTTCCGAACGGCGATATTATGCTGATTCCGTCGAAGACAAGGATTTTTTGTATTTTCAGACAATCCTAGTAATTTTGCAACTAATAATTGTCTAAATATTCTAATATTTATATTTTTTCCTGTTGCAATTTTGTAAACCGTCAAAGCGTTTACAACAGAAATTCCCAGAAAGAATTGAATGCCAAGTTTTCTGTACCATTTGATTCCCTTTCTAATTGTGGTGGCATAAGAAACCATTTGGTCGGAATAATCTATACCACACTTTCCTTCATTATATTCAACAACAGCTAGTGTTTTTAATGTTGCGAACAAATGAAACGAAACCACTGTGGAGAGAACAGGGACACGGCGCAGCACACGTTGGAATTTTGTCCGGCGTGGGAGCTGTCCCGCTACACCCTGCATCTCGTAATAGGCGAGAAATTCGCCCCATCGGCGATCGTGCAGGTAATGGTGAGTGGGCAACAGGAGTACGAGGCTGTTCGCTCCTATTACGAGCAAGTTATGCTGGTAAAGGAGCGGACAGAAAGGAAGAGAGAGAGAGAGAGAAAAGCTCTCACTCTTGTAGAGTAACACATCTATGTAGAGTAACTCGGACAACGACTAGCAGGCGCTAGGGGCAATGACCTCCCCTAACGCCACAGTTAATCAGTTAGGTAGTTTACAGGATTGGCTCAGCGAGAAGTTGCGGGCAGTGCACCGGCAGTAATTCGCAAGAGATCCCGGGGCACTCCTGTCAAACGCGTAGGTAGGCCATCGTGGAGTTTTAGTGTCTTCCCCAGAATCCAGCGGAGTGTCCATGAGGATTTCTCCACATATAAAAAAAAAAGAAGGTTAGGGTTAGTTTAGGGTATTTGTTACCACTACAAGCGGCCTACACCGGGCACGTCAACGAAAGTGTTATAAATACTTGCTAATTACAAACAGATTATTGTATACGCTTCTTTTGTACCTCTCATCTAACATATTCGTTCATTGCTCATTCCTTTTTCATATTGTTTTAATTTAATATCTGTTTATTCTTTTTCCATATTTAAAGAGTACAAATAAAACGAAACAAGGAAATTTACCTTTGCATTTAGAAATTGATTTTACACCGATAGATCTGACATTACATAATATGTATATGATACCAGAGAGGATTTCCTCTCATATACATATATAGATGGAGATGGAAAGAAGTCCTCTGAAAGGAATGCGAATCTGATTGGTTGTTTTTGACATACTCAATACAATCGTAAATTTAAACATGCATATTGACCAAAAGTATCGCATATAAAAACAGAACAAGGCAGTAACGCGTAACGATGAGTGATATAAGGCCGTATGTAAGTACATACTTACCTCCCTTACCCCTGTGCCGCCACGGTGGACTTCTTCCCATTTCCGTGTTGTACAATCTATGTATACGTGTATTAATAAGTATGTACTTACATACTTGCATACTTACATACAACAAGGCACTTTGTGTCTCACGTTCTGAAATACCGACCTCGATTCCTTTCTTAACCCCTCTGCGATTTGCTACGGTAAATATAGGAATCATCTAATACTATATTAAATGGATAACATCGCATGTAACATAAAAATGGTAAGGGGGTCAGGTAACTCTCAAAACAAGTCGTGGGTCATGAAAAAGCATTGCATCGATTACATGTCACGTCTATTTTGTACTTCGTCTGCGATATAATGTTGAAAAGAGTGTAAATTTAAAGACATTTATGAAAAGTTAGTAAAGCATAAAATAGTCTAAAATTTCGTACAGTGATTCGTAAATAGCTATACATATTTTAACTACATCTAAATATAAAATTTAAATGTGAAATATGGAACATTAAACCAAACAAAAATTCAGCACTATTTTGAAGTCAGAGATTGGAAATAAAAGTATTTCGACTTTACCTATAAATCACTTCATGTTTAATCAAATCTTCTAATATTAACATTAATACAATTTTCTGTAAGCAAAATTATTTTCTATTATTAACAATATAACATACATAAATACTAATATCTAAAATCGCTTTGATTCATTAATACATATATTTTCCCAAATCATAAAATCCAGTTGAAATCCAAACAATATCTTATTATTTGTTTTGAAAACTTGTATCTTTGTATCTGTTTCTCTGTAATATTGAAATATATATTTTATGAGCGTCATATGAATCATCATATCATAATATGAATAGCTTTTATATTATTGCTCATAAGATATGTATTTCAATATTGTAGTAGGTTTTAAGAAGTAATGATTAATATTTACATAATTATAAAACTGTGGTCTGTTTACTAGTAATTGTTCTTTGTTTATAGTTTTTGTTTCATTTAAAAAATAAGATAAATTATCTTGTATTTTTATGTTTGTACCACTACATTGAACATCATCAAAGAGCATTACTGTCTGTTCTTGTTCACGTGGAGTTATAGTTACTATATTGGCAGAAATATCTACACTTTTGTCCTCCACCAAGCAATATTTCAGAATTATAGAATAGGTATAAAGTATAAACAAGCAACCATAGACATTGATCAGATTACTCAGAAGTATTAGTTTGACTTAACACTTGATATCAACAAAGAATTAAGCTGAACGCTGCCTATACAGAAGAAATGTTAATAAATAAGTTAATATACAGTAATAATACAAATTATAACTTACAATCAATGAGAAATACATCATGCTACTGCTTTTCAGTATCTACTGATGCTTCCTCGAATCTGCTTGACTTTATAGCAACTCACTTTAAATACTAAAGTAAAAATTCATATTGACAGATTATATGTACTTAATTTCAAGGTCTCTAACTATCCAACATCTTAGGATTATACCTCTAACATTTATTTAATGCCAACTCCAAAGTCATTACATAGAAAAAATATACTATGAATGCAATAATTATAAACGCAATAATTTATAAATATTCTTTTATTGACTAATATACACACAAAGCCAACATATAAATAAAAATTTCTCTCACAAAGCTTTATCTTTCAACTGACTCTATAGGTATTATATTGCAACCCAAAAGACCATTACCAATCCAAGGGCGTGGAATTAAAGTCAGGGCTACAATATTAGATCCACGTTTGATTTTTATATTTACTGTCTTATATCTGCTATTTTGTACCAAAGTTCCAATATCTTTTAACGATTTAAAATTCCGACAATCAATGGAACCAAATTCTAAGATGAGATCATCAACTTGGATTCCCTATATAATTTAACATTTGTAAATCAGTTTCATGAGTTTAGAAACATTATGGAAATCTAAAATAAATTTTTTACCGCTATTTCTGCTGGAGAACCTGGGGATACTAAATTCACTTTCAAGAAAGGATCCAATTGTGCATTATCTTGAACAATAGCTGTAGTTGCAAGAGAATTTTCTGCTTGATTTCCTGCTAGGGCATGCAATTTATGCAAACCTTCTTCTATTTTCTTCATCAATGTTTTATGATCATTTCTGAGACCTAATCACTTAATAATGTACTAATAAGTCCAAGTTAGTAGAATTTCATGCGAGAAAATTGCGTAGTATTTAGACGCACATATTATCTTATGTCTCACATGTCTCACTTGGTAAACATCAATGTCATTTCGTGGATATCCCTCGCAGTCCACCAGAGGATCATCCATGCCAACATGATTCTACAATTCATACATATGTATAAACATTCGGTCATTTTCTCGAAAATTTGACACATCATTCTAGTATAAACTATATTATGTTTATTTTCAATAACGTCATTAAACAGATATTCTGTGCAAATTTAAAATATATCAATATATGTACATACAATATCTAAGATTTCTTTTAAAGCCTTCAAATCCGATTCAATTTTATCTTTGTCTTTCATAAGCTGAAGAACGTAATCCTTAGCTTCCTGTAACTCCATGTCGACCACCATTTTCACTAGACTGACGTACGCAGTATATCATCAAGTATGTAACTTGAAAATGAAAACATGAAAAATCATTTTTAAATTCTCAATGCATTTTCAAGATTTCACTTTCATAAATTAAAAACGAATATATAACAATTAAAATTTTTTTCTAAATAATGAGTAGTACACATTTAGATGTCGTAATTTGTAATTAATATATTTTTATATACATTTCGATATAATATTTCAATAATATTTTATAAGTTTTATACATATTATACATATATAAATATAAATAAATAAATAAATAAATATAAATAAATAAATAAATATATATATAATCTCGGTAACAAACATATGGAAATATTACGGAAAGCAACAAAAAGAGTTCAGGAAGCACGATTAAATCATGACGATAGCGCTGTTAAAAAAGCTGTTAATGATTACGAGGAAGCTTTGGAAAGATATGTTCCAGTTTTAATGGCACAGGCTAAAATTTACTGGGAACTTGGAAATTATACGCAAGTTGAAAAGATTTTTAGGAAAAGCGTCGAATTTTGCAATGAACATGATATATGGAAATTAAATGTAGCTCACACCCTTTTTATGCAAGAAAATAAGTTTAAAGAAGCAACGGGATTTTATGAGCCAATTGTTAGAAAAAGATATAATAATGTTAGTTGTTTCATCCTTAGCTTTTTATAGTGCGATCTATACATATATGTATGTTAATATGGAAATTATTAAATATTATAAAACTTTTAGATTTTAGATGTGAGCGCTATAGTACTCGCAAATTTATGTGTAAGTTATATCATGACATCCCAAAATGCGGAAGCTGAAGGATTAATGAAAAAGATAGAAAAAGAAGAGCAAGTTGTTTCACGAGAGGATCAAGATAAAAAATTATTTCATTTATGTATTGTGAATTTGGTAATCGGAACTTTATATTGTTCTAAAGGAAATTACGAATTCGGTATATCTAGGGTAATGAAAAGTTTGGAACCTTACAATAAAAAGTTAGGAACAGATACTTGGTTTTACGCGAAGAGGTGTTTTCTATCCCTTTTAGAACAGTTGGCTAAACAATTAGTAGTTTTAAAAGACACTATACTCCAGGAGTGTATACAATTTTTAGAACACTGTGAAGGTATGTATTTTCGATTTTTATATATTTAACAATATTTTCGTACATTGTTGAAATATTATTACTTTTCTTTCTAGTTTACGGAAGGGACGTGGTAACAGTAATAGAAGAGCCTTTTGATATGCAAGATATATTTTCTATTACTCCAAATGGAAAGCAAACGGTTGTTTATGAAGCGCGATATTTGAAAGCCCTATTTTTGAAATTGCAGATGTCTTAAATATATATATATATATATATATTTAAGACATCTGCAATTTCAAAAATAGGGCTTTCAAATATCGCGCTTCATAAACAACCGTTTGCTTTCCATTTGGAGTAATAGAAAATATATCTTGCATATCAAAAGGCTCTTCTATTACTGTTACCACGTCCCTTCCGTAAACTAGAAAGAAAAGTAATAATATTTCAACAATGTACGAAAATATTGTTAAATATATAAAAATCGAAAATACATACCTTCACAGTGTTCTAAAAATTGTATACACTCCTGGAGTATAGTGTCTTTTAAAACTACTAATTGTTTAGCCAACTGTTCTAAAAGGGATAGAAAACACCTCTTCGCGTAAAACCAAGTATCTGTTCCTAACTTTTTATTGTAAGGTTCCAAACTTTTCATTACCCTAGATATACCGAATTCGTAATTTCCTTTAGAACAATATAAAGTTCCGATTACCAAATTCACAATACATAAATGAAATAATTTTTTATCTTGATCCTCTCGTGAAACAACTTGCTCTTCTTTTTCTATCTTTTTCATTAATCCTTCAGCTTCCGCATTTTGGGATGTCATGATATAACTTACACATAAATTTGCGAGTACTATAGCGCTCACATCTAAAATCTAAAAGTTTTATAATATTTAATAATTTCCATATTAACATACATATATGTATAGATCGCACTATAAAAAGCTAAGGATGAAACAACTAACATTATTATATCTTTTTCTAACAATTGGCTCATAAAATCCCGTTGCTTCTTTAAACTTATTTTCTTGCATAAAAAGGGTGTGAGCTACATTTAATTTCCATATATCATGTTCATTGCAAAATTCGACGCTTTTCCTAAAAATCTTTTCAACTTGCGTATAATTTCCAAGTTCCCAGTAAATTTTAGCCTGTGCCATTAAAACTGGAACATATCTTTCCAAAGCTTCCTCGTAATCATTAACAGCTTTTTTAACAGCGCTATCGTCATGATTTAATCGTGCTTCCTGAACTCTTTTTGTTGCTTTCCGTAATATTTCCATATGTTTGTTACCGAGATCGTCAAATTTGCGATATGCTTCTTCTGGTGAAGTTTGTTGTGTGATTAATGCATCCACAAAATCATATAAATACTGAAAAACAAATATTATTATAATTACAATAAAAATTTTCATATTATTTTTAATTTTCATAAATTTGTATTGAATACAAGAATATACTAATAACATTTTCATTTATCATTCTCTGCATTCTAAAATTCATTTTCTTGCTATAATCCTGCATTTAGCATTATGAGTATGAGTAAACCTAACCTTTGCATCAAGTTTGACTGATATTTATCTGTTGTTGTTACTTCTTGCCTAAATACGTTTACAGAAATGACAAGGTGCAAATTAAATCAAATATTTATTGGAGAAGTTGCATCTGTACAAAATTATGGAGCTTTTATCAGAATTCCAGGTTGTTCCTTCCAGGGATTGATACATAAATCACAAGTATTAGAAAAATATATTCGCAATCAATTAACTTATTTATATTCTACAATACAATTAGTTTGTATTTTTGTAATTTTATATGTTTTCATAATTTCATTAGGTAAGCTCTGCTCATATCAATAATGTTGGAGAAGTTTTGCAAAAAGGAGAACGTATATGGTGTAAAGTTATTCATATTGGAGATGATGGCAAAATAGGACTATCTATGAAGCATGTAAATCAAGGAAATGGTACAGATTTAGATCCAAATGGAATACAGCTACAAAGAGATGTGCAAAAGAAAAGACCTATAGAAAAACATGATCGTAGAACTATACACTTAGAAGCAATCCTTAATACCACATGTATGAAATGTGGAACTGCTGGTCATTTATCTAAAGACTGTTTTATGAGTCCTGATGGAAAACGGTATGAATTGATCCCAGAAATTGAAGAAAAACAAGACGTTATACAAATACAAAGTGATATAAGCAAAAAAGACACAAGACATAAACAAAAGAAATTAAAAAGGAAAAAGAAAGCAAAAAAAATCAAACAAGATGCACTTGATAGTGATTCTGATGAAAAAGATGTAATTAAAAAGAAAAAGAAGAAATATTCTAAAGACCAAAAGAAGAAAAAGAAGAAACATGAGAGTTCTTGTAGTGATAAAAATTCTAGCGATAGTTCTTCTAGTCATGATGTGAAAGCTCATAAACGAAAGCATTCAGAAAGTTCAGGAAAATGTACTAAAAAGTGTAAACATTCAAAAACTAAATATGCTAATGAATGAAAGCATAAAAACTAGAATGTAAATTTAATCTTCATGCCGATTTTGTATATTTTTAAATTATTAAAATATTTCTCTTGAAATATCTATTTTACAGTGTATCTAACAATATAATAATAAAAATCATACTTACTGATGTTAAATATTTATAGGTCAAGTGTACATTTTCAGCAAGAACATCTGCTGCTAGATCATAATATTGGTATTTGCAATATAACAATAATAAGTTTGCAAAAGTTTCAGGTGGAAATGGATTTTGTTGTAGTAAAAACTGAAGTTTCTCAAATCCTTCACTTGGCTTTGTATCCATATTTATTAAAGCCTGATTATGCAAAGTGACAGCATCAAGTTCTTCCTCAGATCTAGGAGGCATATCTGTTAATGCTTCTTTTGCTGATTCATCTAAAAGCAGTAAATAAAGAGCATGGAATATTAAATACACTATGGAAACTTAAACTTAAAAAATTAAATTAAACTATGGGATGATTACAATTTTGTAATTGATATTCTATGGCTGCTTTCAAGTTAAATGCTTCTGTTAAAGCTGTTTCATGAAGTGTTAATGTATTTCCAACACTGCGTACTTCTATACCTTCTGTTGTCATACCCACTCCTAATTCTGGATGTTCCCTTATTCCTTGTTCTATAATATCCGCTATCACATGCATAATATGTGTTAATATAAAATATTATATTTTAAATATTTGCTTATGAACCTAATGATTTATAACAATATAAATGTTACCGATATGTTTTAATGATGCAGCATATTCTTTTAATTTAAAATAACAAAGTGCCACATTGTATGATAAATGAGGCTTGAAACCTACAATTTGCAATGCATTTACAAATTTTTTTAAAGCTTGTTCATACTGTTCCTCCTAAACAAGAAAGTAGTATACATTATTACATAAACAGAAATTTTACTTCTTTGTCTTTAGTACTTTTTGTACCTTATATAGAAGACATCCTAAATTAATTTCTGTATCAACATCATCCATTGGACATTGATCTACAAGATTTTTCGCAGCAACAACGTCTTCTTGCCCATATTTTATTGCTGCCTGTAGTTTCTTTACTTTAAATTCCAAATTGCTTTGATTAATGATGTTGGAACATATTGTCCAAGCCTCTTGATACATACATGCTTGGTGTAAAGATTGAGCATGATACAACTTATATATACTTTCATTAGGACATAATTGAACTAACTTTTCATAACACTGTGCAGAAGCTATGAAATCTTGTGTATAAAAATAACAGTGAGCAAGGAGAGACAAACAAGGCCTAGACTGTAAAATAAGTTATTAGCACAGAACATTGATATTGATAAAGAAATTGATATTTCAACGTAGTCATACATACAATGGGGTAAAAATCTAGAAGAATAATCAAAACTTTTATTGTTTCTGAATATCGTTGTTCTTTAATCTGAAAAATTAATTTCCGTACTGTACTTCTTCGATATTTAAAAAAATCGCTTTTAAAATTTATCATTTGACTTTAACACATATATGCTATTAAAATATTAAATTGTATACTTGTAATTAAAGGAATAAATTTTTAAATAGTTAAATAATCTCTAAACTTAAAACACTGACTAAAGAAGTAATAGAATTTCTGACATGTAAGTGAATTGTACCATTGAATAAATAGCTTTTGTGTATTCTCCATCTTTAATATGCACATTTGGTATAAAAGTAGTCATCTTTTTAGGATAATTTTTCTATTCACGAAACATTGAATTGTCTCTATACAATAAAGTTTTAATGACCTCACTATGTTACACGTAATGTGTGTATAGTATATAATGTTATGATACAAGAGGAATATCGTAACTATGGAAACAACTGCTTTTTTGTAAAGGAAATCAAATCTCATATATTTAATACTATGTATTTTACAAATCAAAATATAAGGAACACAACTCAGTCACGACATGATTTTTTTTATAATAAATAAGTATCTACAGAGATTTGTTATTTGTAAAACATTTTCTTACATTTTGTATATATGTATTATATATTAAGTTTATATAATATTACAATAATCCCACTATGTACATTTATGTATCAAATTTTTATGTATTCATTTCTTTGTAATTCGAGCTTAGCTAAAATAAAATTACATGAACAACAACGTATTTATTACTCATTTACATTTAATACAGATCCCTTTTTGTATTGAATAACAAACTTTTGTTCTTTAAAATATTTACATATGTATTACTCATAACATGATATAAGAACGGCTTAAAACTAGATGCATAATTAAAGTCAAAGATCGTGTCCGTAAATTGCAAAATGTAATGAATTTATATTCTTGATCGCAAAAACATGAGCATAAACTAGCGCCCTCTTAAGGACAATGAACAGTCAAAATAGTAAATATATACTCGTATATCTGACTTTTAAATGAATTTTCAAAGAAGAGACTCGATGCAGAGTATAAGTATGTATATAGGACCACATAACACGTAGTAAGAACGCAAGAACTAAAGAACATTGAAGCATCCGTGTTTCGATCGTCGTTTCACCAATAGCTTTTTTGCGGATCCGATAACATACATATATGTAGTATGTAAACCAACGACGATTCGTACGTACTATAAGTGGTATAAGCACTGCAGAGTCTCGATAGCGCACTAGTACTATACGCAGATTGAGTGCGTGTGTGACTTCCCTCGTTGGAGAAATGTCGTCGGCACTCGTGGCCGCTAAATAAACGACGAAACATGTCCGGACCGATAGTCAGTCGTGCGCAGACACTCGGCGGTGATGTTCAAATTGGTATAACGGTAGGCTGTGTTATCTGTAACAGAACTGACAAGCTCCTAAGGTGTTCACGGTGCAAGGCCGTATTTTATTGCACCAAAGAACACCAGAGGCGGGATTGGAAACGTCACAAAGAATTTTGTGCGACTCATTCTGTGGAATCGATCGTATCAAATACCGTTTCGGCTACTAGTCAAAATTCCACTTTGAAATCCGCTAAAAAGGAATCCTCCTTAAGAAACTGCCAGAATTTAACTACACCAGTGGTTTCTAACCTAAGCGAGAAGTCGGTGTTAGAAAGAACGCGAGGTTTGAACGCTGCTCCAGAAGTGCATAATAACGGGAAACATCTTGGCGGTACGTGAAACTTGATCTTGTTCCCACGTGCCTTTTTATAAAACTATTTCACGTTAGAATTTTAGAGTTGTGTAATCTTTTACTAGCTAATAATGTATTATATACTATAAAATATGTATGATTTTTTGTAAAATAAATACAACTTCTTTGTTTCATTTATTTTAATTAATAATTGTTGCATGATTTTGTTGTTTACAGGAACCAACAAACAGATAGAAAAGATAAAAGGACAATCAAATCATAAGGATAGTCGAAATTCCAAGAGGAAATCCAATAACACTAAGACAAAAGGTACTTGTACTAACAGAGTGGATGGATGGACTTCTCCCATAACATATGAAGGAAGTTCTGAAGACACGATTTTGGGTGCCAGAACAGAATTATTGAATCCTGCTCTAGAAGGTTCAAGAATCCTAGATAACCTACAGGACCATGAATTAGATATGCCTACACAACATCATAACGGTATGAAGAACTTTCCAGAGGTTCGTTTAACTCGTGAAGAAGAACTTTTACCACCTTTCCTCCATAAAAATAAAAATAATCTTGAAGAATTAATAGATGATATAAGCAGAAATGTGATTAGAGACATGGATGAATATGGTATGTGTGTGGTAGACAATTTTCTAGGAACCGAAAAAGGTCTTGCAGTGTTAAACGAAGTTTTAAATATGTACAGTGCTGGGTTATTTAAGGATGGACAATTGGTTTCTAATAAAGCAGGTGCAAATGACTTAAAGACAATTCGTGGTGATCAAATAACGTGGCTTGACGGAAAAGAAAAACAATGTCAAAACATTGGAATGCTCATATCTCAAGTTGATGCTGTCATTATGAGGGCAAATAAAATGTGCAACAATGGGAAAATGGGAAATTACACGATTAATGGAAGAACGAAGGTAAGCATAAAAATAGTCCCACATTTTATATATCATATAGTTTTGTTATCATTACATATGACAAAAGTATACATTAGTCTTATATTTATTTCAATCTTTAATTTATGTCTTGTGTTGAATATCCTTACTTTGTCAAAGTTTATGTTTGTACTATTTGAATCATAAGTAAGCATTTCAAAATATGTATTAATAATTAATAAGATATGTATTAATACTCCATTAATCGATATACTAATGCCTATTAATAATCTTATAGATATACAAACACATTCTTGTAAGTCTATATACATTATTAAGTTCACTATATTTCTATAGTTTTGATAATTTCTTTTTATTTCTAAATCAATTTTAGAAGCATTGAAAATGTTATTGTAAGGAAAATTTTTCTTTTACTCATTTAATATGATAAATTTGTTTAATGTTTGATTATGCGTAAAATATTAATTCATCGAACGCATAATTGAATAGCTATTATAATTTGAAATAAACTTTGGCAATAAAACTGTTTTCTTTTTTATGAATACAATACACAATCACATACATATATTTTTAACAATTGAAAATTTTGGTAGTTTAATATGTTTATACAAACTGCTCATGTTTTATTCCAATATTGCAATCTTCTACATAATTGTTATATTATATGGCTTTTGTTAAACAGTTATATATTTTATTTATTATCATAAAAATTGTACAATATTACTTATACGTGTAAAAAATAGCATTTAAGAAATTAAATTTGTTACAATATTTACATATTTAAATTGTTAGGTAACAGTAGATTGAAAATGTTATTAATTTTAAGCAACTATCAGACTAAGTTCCAATCTATGTATGTATATCATTACGGAGAACGAGAGTTATACAAACCAATGAAAAAGTAGTTTCTTGAATATCGTGAAAACAATGCAAATGCGGAAATATTTGTAACACTGGCCAGAAGAAATGATCTGTTGTTTTGCACGATAGCCGTAACAATCAAATTAATCACTGAGATGCAAACCAATTTACGTTTTCTGATTTGCTATAAAAATCTGATGAACGATATTGGTAAGGGGGGGACGCGCGTTCATTCTAGGTATCAAAGCAGTGAAAAAGCAAATCCCTTGAAGCATCGGTTTAATTTCTTTAGCAGCTAAAAAGGAGAGGGAGGAAGCGACGGTAGGCAGAGAAGGTCAGGATCCCGAAATTGCAGTGATCTTTCGGGTAGCTCGTGTGCTAAACAGAGAACCGAAACGAGAGTAGCAAACCACGAAGTGCAGTCGGTCACGTACGCCGTACGGCTGACTCGTTCATACAATTATACAGTTATCTCTTTCTCCCTGTCTTTCACTGACTCTCTTTCGTCTTTTATGCCAGAAAGTAGGCAGTGTGTATGCGTTTTTCTCGATTACGCATCCTGTCTCCCGTAAGGCCGTAAACAGAATCTAAACCGCGAACGAATGAGTGGGACGATATGAGGTGTTATGTAGACCGACCTAAGTAATCAGTAAAGTATCAATGATCAGTAGCGACTTAAAAGTGTAGTTTTCTTAAGCAAATACTTTATTCGTATAATATATGCTACATTTGGTTCATATGTTCGTGTACATTTGATTATTTTCCAGACAACGAGAACAAAATTGTTCATCTGAACTTGTTTGGTTCCATACAGGAAACAGAATGAGAGAATTGAATTGTTGTGTGATTGGTGGTATTGGATATAAAGATTTTAAGGTTATCTCGACTCACTTTTTCTTCTATAAAATTGTGTGATTTAATAAACTAATGTTGTAACGCGCTTTGAAATAAATTTATCGAGCTGAATAACTTTTTATATACTCTTGAGTAACTTTTTAGATATTACCACGAATATCGACGATATTTGCCATTGTTTTCTCAATATATGACAGCGGATCTCATTTCTCTTCATTGATTTTCTGTGATGTGCAGATATTCTACATAATGTTATGAGTATCACTGTTCTAAATTATTTTATCACTATTATTTATTACTATATACAGTAATATTTCCTAACATTGTTTGAAGGTACATGTTATGGAACTCAATGTATTTTTGATATTAAATGTTATTGTGATGCAATGCAAATATACATTTGTATTAAAATACATAAAACACGAACGACAAAGAATAGAAATAAAGAAGAAATAAAGAAGAAAAGTGAATGTGATCCTAAAATTCTTGCAACTAATTGTAAAAGTCTGAAAAAAAAGTTTTTAATCTTACTATCGTAATTGATTCTCCTTTTAAACTAAACAAAGCTTTGTCTCTTCAGAAATCGAAGAAACAAGCGAATACATATTTTTAAACCAAACATATTGCTCCGTTTTGTTGCTGCTTCCATTTATAGTTCGCAAGAAAATATTCGATACAATTCAAATTCTTTTGCTGTCTCGCACCAAATCTCCCATTTAATTAAGTTGAACTTCGTTTCTGGATACCGTTCTTTTTTAACTTTTTTTTGCATTTTCTGATAGTACTCGAAGAATTTGGAATTGAACATTTCGCAAGTATTGTATAAATATGAGAACTACCACCTAACTGTTATAATTTTTCCTTTGCACGTCGAGTGAAGTACAAAGAGAAAAATAATTGCGGCAATGGTTAAATGTGTTTTTAAAACATATTCACTTTTTCATGTTGAAGTTGAATCCTAACTTACTGACGATAAATGATGATATAATATTGAAATTCATTGATTCAACGTAAAATCATATTTTTTATGTATTCTAGGTTCTAGATAGAAGATTGCTATCTATCTAGACTAGAAGAGTGCTATCAGTATCGTATCTGCATAATGGGAAAGCTAGGTACTTCATCTTAAGGGGAATTTTATCGTTAGATAATTGTGTATTGTTAAAATTACACGATATTGCGTAACGATATTTCGGATCAATACGACTTTATTTACAAATATTCAAAAATAGTGCTGAGTTACTGACAATATTTTGAAATATTGCATTATTTAACGCGAATTCATCCTAATGCAAAGAACATATATTTAGCTTTTCCCTATCAGGTTCGGGCGAACTTCCGGTTTTACAATGTGTGAAGAACATTTATGAAAATAATTACAAATTAATTAGTAATTATCAATAAACATAAAAAATAAAAATAATAATTTTTAAAACAGCGTGCAATATGTTAGATATCTATATTCATTGCTTATTTTTTGGCAAATAAATATATTTAATAGAAGTTAAAATTCTATATTTTATGTTTTATTTTTGGAGTAATTGACTATTGTACACAAAGCGACTTGACAGGTAATTAATTCCGTGACTAAATAATTTCATAAGCTAGAAAGAATAATCTTGCATAAATGTGAAAGCCATTATATGAAACTGAAATACTAAATGTTATTAAATATAAAGAAATATGACAAATTATACTGTTTTTTTTTAAGGTAATATTTAAATTATGCATTCTTTAATACATAGTTCTTTCATCGATAGTGACTAATATATTCGTGTTAGGTCGTTCACTTTCGATTAAATCCTTACAACCGGCTGGTTGCATCTCGCTCTTTAACCTTCGTGAAGGTGAAAAAATCAACGAGGTATAAATGTACATACATACAAAGTATGTATGCATTTGCACATATAGTTAGACGGTTGAGAGCGTGCCAATCATGTCTGAAAACGATTTCATTCGTCTCCCTAGCGTCGTGTCGTTTCCACGAGGGTATTTACCGGTGTTTGTTGACTTCCTGATCGGTATGACATATCTTCCGTGTTATTTATAATTATAATAGCCGCGTTACAATGCTTTACGGCTCACGATATTCCCTTTACATTTCAAAATTTAACTATCTGTTTCGTGATAAGTGGAGATTTTCACGTTACTATATGAATATTTAAAAAATATAAAACATACAAATATACGCAAATATATAATAAATGACTTGAAATTTCTCAGTTTCATTTTCGTGGTACACGATCATAGGATCTTTTAGACGATTTTTTCAAGATCGATGTTCCGCAAAATCGATGGTCTTAAATGTATATTTATTCAACAACAAGTTTCAGCTATAGATTATTAGCAATGTTAATTAATAATTTTAATGATCAATGTGATTCTTTAAATCTACTCTCTAAATTAAACTTTGTTCCTTTTTTATATTAACATTTTTTCATATCTTATATTTTCTAGATTAATACAAAATAAAAGTCACTTCTCGTTACCAGATTATTATGAAATTCCTTATTTTTGGTCATTATCGTTTATCATTTTGAAATTTTTAACATTTACGTTTCTGACTTTGTCATATTTTCATTTTCATCAGTATGTATTCCAAACTTGCACTAGACATATACAAAAATATAACAAAATTTGACATGTCTCGTCGAAAGAGATTTTCAATTATCAGGAAAGGTAATAAATGAAAACTTCATGGCAATGTAGCAACAGGAAATATTATAATCTGGTAGAATCTAGTATGTTGAAGCGCATGGAAATTTTTATAATTTATGACATGCGCATATACAAATACAGAGAGAGAGAGAGAGAGAGAGAGAGAGAGAGAGAAATATGAAGTAAATTGAGCATAGATAACAATATTTCCTTGTTCAATGTGCGATGTATACCAAATCTTTCCTACGAAAAATTCTTTTACAGCAACCATACATAAATGGTATTATAGCGTAGGGAGAGGCATTACTTAAAACTTAAATGATTGTTTAAAACTTGGAATGTAAGGATATGTTTATTAAGATCAAAATAGATGAATACCATATACGTTTTCCTGAAGGGTGATCCAACGACTGTCGAACAATCAACTGTAACTCAATTACGCCAACCTAACAACAAAAAATTTACAATCCGCGTTCACGTTCACGCCACTAAGTTGCTTCGTGCGCGGCAAACATTGGATCGCCTACAAAGTTACATTTGATAAAGAATTTTTACAGTTGTCTATGTAATTATGTATCTACTTAAAAGCAGAATGTATTAATATAGTCAATAATATAGAAAAATTGTATGATTCTAATCGGTGACTC